GGGCTCGGCGGGTGGTGGGGGGAGGTGGGGAGGAGGGAGCGGGGTGCCGGTGCCCGGCGCCGGTGGGCTGCCCGGCGGCCTGTAGTGAGCGGAGCTGCCCGTAGGTGGAAGCCTCCTCTCGGCCCCCACCGTGCCGTGCTGCGGCGGGGCCACAGGGCTGGCCTGCCTCGGCCGGAGCTGAGGGGGGAGCCCCTGCGTGTGGGCAGAGCTGCCTCGGCCGCTCCTGGGCTCGTTTTCGGAGGAGGCCGCTGGGGCAGACGGGGCTGTTGGCAGCGTCCGGCCCTCAGCGGGGCCGCCCGCCCCTCCGGCCTGTCCGCCGGGACTGCCGCCGGCTGGGCTCGGCGGGTCGGGCCCTGCGCCTGAGGGGAGCACCGCGGCGATGGCGGCTCGTCCTGCCTCCCTCCCTCGTCGCCTGTCCCTGCCCGCTCTAGGCCGGCCTGGCCGCGGTGCTTGCCGTCAGCCTCTTGCCGTCCAGAAGGCAGTCGTCTCCCCCTCTGCTTGTTACACTGCTCCCGACGCCCTCCAGTGCTCTCAGATGTACGGGAACGATAAGAAGAAGGAAGAAGCAACAATAACACTAAGCAGTTTTGTCTTGGACAAATAGGAACTCGTTCCCTACCCAAATGTGTAGCTCTTCTTGCCTTAGTGAGGGCTCAGGTAAGGGTTAGACTCTCCCAAAGAGCTGGGTGAAACACAGAAAACAAACCGTCCCACTAAAAGCAATGATCTTCCCTGGGGCAGAAGATATTGGTCTGGGGGAGGGAATAAAGTTGGTGCTTGGAGTACAACTGTTCAGCCTTAGGAGATCTGGGACTGTTGCTGTCCTGAATAGATCCATTTTGTGAGAAAGTAGGCAGGGAGATGACAGAGTTGATGAGATGAAAGTGGACTGTGAAATATAAAGTACAAATATTAGCAGCATCAGGAAGGTTTTTGAGCTTTGTAAGAGTTTGTATCTACAACTCCACCTCTAAATCTTTCTTCCCCCAATGTGACCTGTGTTCAGAACTTTTTTATTAAACAGTTTTACAAACGGCTGAAGGTTATCTTGGCATATACATCTCATATTTACAAGTGTCTTTTAGTTCCTGGGAAAAATCCTCAGGTTTTTTTTTTTCATTTTAAAGAAACAGGCGTTTATGTCTGCTCCCACCCTGTCTCCAAATGGACATGATTGCTTTAGTGAAACACTGTCTTTAAAAATGAGACAAGTGAAACTTTTATTAACAAAATGTGGGACAAAGGCCTTAACAGTTCAAACACATGACACAATTATTACTGTAAGCAGTGTTATCTGTTCATGAAATTTACAGAATCAGGATTTTAATGAATGGGTTTAGTAACTTTTTTATGTTGTGTAACATACTGAAGTGTTTTGATGTGAAAGAACAATATACAAAATTTAAATGCTGGAGTGGTAATTTTTAGATGTGGTCTGTTTGAAATCTTTCACTCAAAGTTTGATAAGTGGCTTTCATGATGGTACTGGTTTTTGCCATGAGGTGTTTTCAGCCACATACTGATTCCATGAGACCTGTAGTAATAGCAGTATAACTACTGCATGTGTACTGTATTGTAAAAGAGACTCTCAGGTAAGATGCAGAACAAATTTTTAATGAAATGAAAAGTTGTTTTGTAGTCCTAGTTTAAAAAAAAAAAAAAAAAAAAAAAAAAAAAAAAAAAAAAAAAAAAAAAAAAAAAATCACTGTTGTGGTGGTCGCAGTTGATTAAGAAGCTGATTCAAATTTTGTTGTGAACCTCTCATCATAAAAGTGACGATGTTTTTTTGTGTCAGACAAACCACAGCTGACTGATCAGTAATCATATAGCTAGCCATGCTGGGTGTTTATTTCATTTTAAAGAGAAAACAAAAGTAAAAAGTTAAAAAGTCTCAGCAAGACATTAACCAAGCTAGATGATAACTTGATTTCCACACTGAACACAATGAATGTTTGTTTTTCCAGCTCTTACAATAGCTGTATAAGCAATTAGTTTAAATATTTTAAATTGTTATCCCAATTCTGTACTAATAATACGTTGTTTTGATTCACTGAGTTGAGCGCATCACAGCTTTCCAGGGGGCTTATATTTTCAGTAACTTCAAAGAATATTCTAGTTTTTTTGTTTCCCTGGGCAACTGAACTCTATGTTGATTAATGTGAAAAACCTGATTTGGGTAAAGTAGAGAATCACCATAAACAGTGCCTCAGCCATATGTTTCTAGTTACAGTGGCCTCTTTATTACAAACATCTGAAATTATATTGGTATTGCCTTGTTTTAAATAGGTTCTTATTAGTGATGGCTTGATGAACATGACTTAGCATAACAGTCAGACCTTCACTAGTCCATACCTGTGGATGGTATACTAAATACGCTCTTTCTGTGCAAGAGGCTAGTGCTGTTATTAAGTATTTCAGAACTAATAATAGATGAGGGGAGGGTGCTAGCCCTGTTTGTGCTGCTTTGCTCCTGCTTCTTCCTTGCTTTTTTGCAGTAAGTCTCGGGGGCTGCGGTGCTGCGTGTAGAGCTGGTGTGCTTTTCTCTGCTTGCTTTTGTTTGGTCTTTTCTCTGCTGCTGTAGTTTGAGAGTTGCCCATGTTTTTGCAGAAGTCACTACGTTGTTCTTTTTTGTATTTTTGTCATGGTTTTACTCTTTGGAGCTTCTTGGTGCTCTGTCTTTTTAAAAATGATATATAATAATGTTTATGAAAGACATATGATGGTGCATTTTAAGTGTGTGTGAGAGTGAGCTCTTATGTGCAGGATTAGCATGGTGAAAGATGATAAAGTCTGTAGTTTGCGGTTTCTGGGTTGTGGGGTTTTGTTTGTTTAGTTTTTTTTAAAACTTCTGGGCCACTCAGTCTGGCTGTACCCCATATTTTAAGAAGATTCAGGTAAATCTTTTGGGACAGTAATTTTCTTAAGAAAATCAGTTTGCTCAAATGATTATCAACTCGGGAAAAATTGTGCCCAGTACAAATATTGTTGGGCATAGTAAGAAAAAAGCCTGTGCAGATACAGGTTAAACTCATTGCTTTTGTCTGCTTAAGGTCATATATTGTGTCTTCCGATGATCATTAAATTGCAATTAATAATTTGGGTTCAGAGTACTCAAGTTTTGGCCTCGTGTTATATTACCTGCTCAGAATAGAACAGAAAAGGAGGACAGACTTGCCACCAGTGCAACTCCCATTGCAGTCATCTGGAAGGAGTTAGCAATGGGATGAGGCAGATTGGTTTAATTAGACTACTGAATCCAAGCCTGTAACTTCTTAAGGCCAGAAAGGACAACTGGAGTTACTGACCAGGTTAGTGCATTTTGTAGGAATTCTTGCATTGAGTCCTGTCATGGTTGTGTATGTAACCATGATACAAGTATTACATGCTTTTAGCATAAGTCATCTTAATTTCTGACTTTTTTACAGGTATTCCAAGCTGAATTATAGAAGCTTATATACCTCCCAAAGCTCTGGGCATTGTAAAAGGCTTGTGTAATCCACACTTGATTTGTTGCTGAGTTCTTTGCTCACTTCTGTAACTGAATTGCCTTATCCTGTTGGGTGACCAACACCTCTTACTTTCTTGGAGTTTCAGCTGTGGCCTTTGGGTTGTGAGGGCCAAAGTAGTTTAGAACTTGCCTAGTTGAGAGCTGTGTCTCGCAGTGCCTTATCTGTAGTCAGGCTCCTTTAAATGTCCTTCCCTCAAGGGATCCCTGGATTTTCTTGGATTGCTGTACCTCTGAGCCTGTGATGGCTGTTAGGAACAGAGCTTGTTCGCTTACTGAAGCTTTGGAGAGACACAGGGGTGCCAAGTGCTTATGGTCAGGTGCTGTTTGTGTCTGTATGTCTTCATTTCCTCCTTTTTGAGGGTAACAGTCTTCACTTTCTGATACTGTACTCATTAATTAACTGAAATGTACCTATCTCCAACATCAGTACTTTCATTTATTATTCATAAGCGTGCATTACGAGATACTACTTTGACTTAGCAGCTGTTCTTGTACAACCTATTCTCTCTGTCTCGTAAATGTTGAGACCTTTAGCTACAGTGTGAGACATATGAATAAAGTGTCTGAGAAAACTGGCTTCTTTTTTTCTCTCAGAGTGAGTTTCACAAAATTGGCCAGTGTTAACTGAAAAAAATACCCTTTTCCCTTTTTTTTTTTTGCCTCCATTGTCCATGATTTCCTTGTATTACATAAGTAAAAATAAAAGATAGAGAAGTTTCATTTAACTTTACAAGATCTGAATGGTATCGCTTTTCTTACTGTGCTTGCCTGACTTTAAACCATGTTGTATTTGATTCCATGTGCCCACATGGCAGATCATAATGCCTTGCATGCAGGGCAAAGCATCTCAGGATGCTATTTGCAGTTTACAGCCCACAAAAATGTCGGGCGTTTTTAAGTGGTATTTGCAGGATAGTCAAAGAAGGCTAGATGAATTTTGTTTCCAAATTCAGCTTGAGATTTGATGACCATGCTGTTTCCAGCTTCCTTCATCAGTATGGAAGAAGCAGGGAGAGACACTGTGCACCTGTCTGGTACTGAGAGCTTAAGTAGTGGGGGAGGGAAAAAAACAAAACCCTTTTGGAGTGTTTGCAGCAAGGCAGCAGGTAACCAGTGCAGAGGTGGTAGGTGGTGTATGCTTTCTTGGTGGCTCAAAGGCAGTTCTTCCACACTAATGGCAAGACTGTTAAGGAAAGCCTTTAAGTTCTTCTTTGTGTAGGTTTGCAATACGTGGTCTGGTTTAAAAATATGAAGTGGGGCTCCACCACACCGTAGAAACAGTATTTTAAATTTTAAAAATACCCAAATAAACAAAACGTGTGTGCACCTTTCACTCTTGCTTTGCACTATGCCGTCATTGTGATGGATAACTCTAGCAGGAAGCTTGTGTTAGAGCAATGGCATAGAGCAGTAGCTCGTTTTTTGCTCCCTTGCTTGTGAATCTGTAACAGAAGCCACGATAGGAGCAAAAGGTAGTTAGTAACATTTTTTTTCAGTTCTTCTGAGATATAAAGGGGCAACTTGAAAAACAGCTGGAGTGAGATCTTACATGTCTTACTGTCTGAGAAATTTTCTGCTGTGTTACTTTTGTATATTGGGGTTTTTATATAGCAAGACCAAAAGGGAAGTGATCAATGATGGTGGCCTGCTAACCTTTTGGTAAGTTTTAAAAGCAAGAAAGTTATAAATTATGAGTATAGTCACTCCAAAATTAAGGTGTATGCTTAGCTTTCCTATCTGCACTTGTGCTTTAGTTGACCGTTGTTTTGGAGTTGTGTAGTGCACTGACCTGGTTAGGAGAATAACACTTGTGTACCTTTGACTTTGCTTCCTATGGTATTACTGCTTTTACAATCTTAAGACTTCTCAGAATTACTAAAGTGGAGTGTGCTTACAGTATTTTCACTTTTCATTTCTTGAAAACAGGAACAATCTTTTTAATGCAGGAAATTTCTTAACAAAAGGCAACTCTAAAACTGTAGGACTTGCTTACCTAGCATTAAGGTATCTGTACGAGATGGGCACTACCATATTTTTCAAGATCTATGTTCATATGTGTCTTTAAAGTTTTTGTGTAGAGCACCTCTGAATTTCTTTTTATGGGTTAGTTCTTCATGTTTTTGCTGCTGTGGTTCAGATTGGTCAAGAA